AACTTCCTCTTCAGCCACCTTCTTTTCGTGCACAGCAGCGTCTACCCTATCTTGTAGGGTATCTATCAGCTCTACAGTGAGAGTCTGATTGTGCACGAACTGAAAACAGGAAGACAAAAAAAAATAATAAATAAAAAAATATATATATATATATATAAAGAGCTGAATTTCGGAGGAAATGAAGGAAAATTACCTGCATCATCAGCAGTTGGTTAGACCTGGCTGGGTCAGGAACTGATCTGCTGGATTCGCCCATCCCAGCAGTGGCCTTCAGCGACCAGATCCTTGCCCTGTCTACTTCGGACATGCCAGCAAAATTGCCGAAGTAGGCTGCAGCTCCTTCTCGGTTTTGACCCCATATGAGGTCCCAGATGTGATCTGGGATTGGAATTCGGGGGGCCGAGAAACCCATTTCTCCAGAATGCAGAGTCTGGAAAGAAGGGAAGGATGACGATGGAGCTTGATTAGCTTTGGTTGTCTCAGCATCATCCTTCTCAGAGGAGTCAATTACTATGACCTCCTCTTCTTCAGGGGTGAGGACGAAAGCCTCAACCTCTCTTGCGATGTCTGCCGTGAAGCCCTCAGCGCTGGACATCACGGCATCCTTATTTTCGTGCTCATCAGCACTCTTCTTCATTTCTTCTTGGACCCCTCCCTTAGGTTCGGGAGTTCTCTGATCCACCTCCATCTCAGGAGGTGGCGGAGGGGTCTTTTGAGGAGATTGGGGTGTTGGCTGGGGAACCCTCGGCGATCCATTGCCTTCCTCAGGTTCCCTTATTGCGACGCCGATGGTCATCGGCCTCTGCTGAAAGTCATGAGGGCCGATGATGGCCATCCTTCGGCGCCTTTTCAGAAGGGGCTGCTCGTCCATATCTGAGTCTGAAGACTCTTGTATTTGGTCTTCGGGACGAACAGGAGCTTTGCCTTCTCTGTGTCTGTTACTCTCTTCAGACTGTAACAGACAGGGGGGAAGAAGAATGTGAGTAAAAAAAAAAAAAAAAAAAAAAAAAAAAAAAAGTTGTCTGAAAGCTCACCGAGGTTTTCAGCAAAGCCTCGTCTTCTTCAGCTGCTCTAGCTGCAGCTTCGGCTTCAGCAGCTCTGGAGGACCCTTCTCCTCCTTCGCAAGCCTCAAGTACCCGTGCAACCTCTTCGGCTGTGCGGGCAGCTTCAGCTTCTTCGTTCAGCAGCTGAAACCAAGGGTCTCTCTTCTTCCACCAAGGCTTCTGCCTCTGATACAGAGCAACACCCTCAATTTGGAAGTGGGAAGAATCCAGATGAACTTCCCTATGCCTCGGCTCAGTGATAGACGGGGCCCGTTCAGTTACAACTCGCTCTCGGTTAACACCAAGACGAGCGTAGTTAATACCAACGTTGGTCTCGTCCCGCTCTGAAAAAAGGAAAGGGAAAAAGTTTAGCTCAGATATGTCGGCACAGCATAAAAAAAGCAAAGCGAGAGAAGAAAAAGAGGTAGTTAAAAAGCCTCGGCCCCAGCCGAAGAAGCTTACCATCCTTAAACTTTCGGCTGAGGCCAACAGCTGCTAGCATGTTCTCTTGGAAAACGTAATGCGTATCGGGGAGCCAAGTCTCCGGGATATGCTGCATTCGACCACTTCCCCCCGGGTTCGGCAGCTTGCCGAAGATATGTTGCTGATCCAGGTTCGGATCCGCCCCATTATCTGCGGGGGGACCTAGACTTCCCATTTCGGGATCAGGCTCAGCTAAGTACCGGGGAGCGCTGAAGACGCAAGGGTGGCCCGGATCTATGGGTGCCCTAACCCAAATCCATTGACCTCTCCAGTCCTTGTCTGAAGAGTCATTTGGCCACATGGTCAAGTATTGGGGCCGGGACTCAATCCGATACCACCTAGAACCATGGCTTCCGTGCCCACTTTGAATATTTGGCACTAGCCGATGGAGCTTTCTGAAGCAGTGCAGGTTCGACACGTACTTGAAGAACTTGCAGACCCATAAATATGTCATCACCCTTCGGATGCTGGTGGGGGTTAGCTGACATAGGGAAATGTTGTAATGGATCAGCAAGTCTCGGACGAAAACGTCCAAAGGGAACCTCAGCCCATACTGAAGCTGTCTCGTGTACACCCCCACATACCCCGGGGGTGGACGATGGATTCTATCGGATGCTGAGGGCATTCGGCACCAATATCCATCAGCTTCAAAAATGCCGTAATGCAACTCAATTTGCTCGGCAAATCGATATTGATCGGCGTTCTCTACCCACCATGAGTAGGGGCGGTTCTTTATCATGGCCGAAACGACTTCGGCATTCTCCCACTCTGAAAACCCAGGGAGGATATCCCAAAGGACAGCGGGAACTTCATCATCCCGTCCAGAAGCGCTCGGCTCATCCGTTCTTTGAGGAGGAGCCGAGGAAAGGGGAGTCGCCCTAATCCCTTCAGCAGGGTCAGACTCCGGCCTTTGACCATTCCAGGTCCCAATCCTGTTCCTAGGATCGGGAATCGGCCTTGCTCTTCTTGGAGCACGGGCTCTACCTCTAACTCCTCTTGCCATGGATTATTTCGAAGAGAAAAGTCGAAAGAAAAGGGGAAGGAGTTCGAATTCGAAGAAAAATAAACTGAAATCAAAGGAATTTACCTCAATCTGAAGCGAAAGTTGCCGATTTACGAGTTCGTAGTGGCAAGTCTCAGTTTCTAAGCTCAATGCTCGGGGAATTTGCGAAGTTTTGATGCGGGTTCTTGGTTTCTCTCTCGAGGAAGTCTGGGTTCGTGTCGGTGAATAAGTGAGGAGAATGACGCGCCTCTGTTTATATCTTCAGGTACGGGATACGAAGAGTCTGTGCTTTAATTTCTCTTAAATACCCACTAAGTAACCATTAAACACATGTCTTGTGATTAAACTGCCCATTATCCGTCCAACTTCCGCAAATCATTAACCGTTGTTATCTCATTAATTACGGTTTAAATTCAAATTTTTGGATCAATTAAATCATTTACTTCCCTCCTTTTCTGAGTTAAATCAAACCCGACCCGTCATCCTTCCAAATCGGGTCTGGGGGGCAAGTTGTTTGGGTCCAATTTAGTCAGAATTGGGCCTAAGCACTAAATGATCCAATTAAAAGCCCAAGGTCAAGGTTCAACTCTCCAATTGCACAAAAGTCAAAGGTCAGCCCACAAAGTAAGCCAATTGGGCTAAAGCCCAACCTCTCCATGTATGATGAGGTATAAAAGCCATCATATTGACACATTGATAGGGGGACGTTCAGATTCATATGCTCATTCTTGCATTCAGAAATATTCCACAAAAGCCTCAAGCTACAAACTCTCTTGCATGGTGTTTTCCTTTTACACACTGTACTGACTTTAGCATCAGAGGGGCCTTCCTCGGAAACACCCCCGAGGCTAGTTTACGTGTGTTCACTGTGCAGGAAACCTTCGGCCCAACACAACTTGGATCGAATCCAGTCTTCTCCATTTCAGCGGACCTTCGGCAAGGTCCCATTGTTTTCAACCGAAACATTTATTATCGTAGCCGATGCCTTTTCTCATATGATTCAGAGTAGAGTAGCTACGGGGAAAATCCATGGTGTAAAGCCAAGTCGGAGAGGTCCAGAAATCTCTCACCTTCTTTTTGTAGATGACAGTCTTCTATTTACTTGGGCCAACCGTCGGGAATGCTCAAACATTGTTGATATTCTCAACCAGTACGAAGCAGCATCGGGACAAAAAATAAATTTTGAAAAATCGGAAGTGTCTTTCAGTAAGGGGGTCAAGACTGAGCAAAAAGAAGAGATTATGGGGATTTTAAAGATGAAGCAGGTGGAAAGGCATGGTCAGTATCTCGGGATTCCAAACATTGTGGGGAGATCAAAAAGGGGAGTCTTCGAAGCTTTGTTGGATAGGATATGGAAGAAATTGCAAGGCTGGAAGGAAAAGCTACTGTCTCATGGGGGTGTACAAATTTCCTACGGAAGTAATCAGGAAGATTCATGCAGCAATGGCTAATTTTTGGTGGGGGGCAAAGTATTGATCGGAAACGTATACATTGGAAAAGCTGGGATTCAATGTGTACTCTAAATGCCTGGGAGGTATGAGATTTCGTGATTTAACAATTTTTAACGAAGCTCTATTAGGGAGGCAAGCTTGGCGATTAATGACTAATAATACTTCCCTGCTAGGCCGAGTTATGAGGGGTAAGTACTACAAAAACTCGAACTTTATTGGTTCTTCTCTTGGCTATGGAGGGAGCTTCTCGTGGAGAAATGTATGGGGTTCGAAGTCATTAGTAAAAGAAGGAATGCTGTGGAGAGTAGGCAATGGAGACAACATAAATATATGGGAAGATCCTTGGATATGTGATGAGGTGAGCCGGATTGCAACGAGCACTCCCACTGAGGAAATCATGAAGGTGAGTGATCTCATTAACTTTGAGAATATGGCCTGGGACTTTGACAAAATACAAGCAAATTTCAATGAAAGAGATACAAAGGGCATACTTGCAATTCCCCTGAGCACCAGAAATCCTCCTGATCAGTTGACTTGGGCTTTCTCTAAAAGTGGTGAGTACTCTGTCAAGACCTCCTATATGTTGGGGAAGGGATGCAATCTAGATGAGTTCCACCAGGCTTGGGTTGATATTTGGAAGGTACAGGTTATCCCAAAGGCTCGTAATTTTCTGTGGCGCCTATGCACAAACACTATACCTGTACGTAGGCTCCTCAAACATCGACACCTTACTGAAAATGATTGGTGTCCTTGGTGTGAAAATGAGTCAGAAACTTGGCAACATGCGTTCTTTGATTGTGATCGAATTCACAACCTTTGGGACAGATTGGGCTGTGAAGAGATGAAGAAAGATGCTACATCTTTATCCCCCTGTGAACTTATTTAAAGCTGGGGAAAAGTGGCACAGGAAGTTAAGGTTCGTGGAATATACCTGATGTGGGGTATTTGGCAAGACAGAAATAAGAAAATCTTCCAAGGGAAAGATGGCTCCACTAATTTGCTTATGACCCGTGTGCTGAGATGGGCAGAAGAAAGCAAGAAAATGGAAGAAGTTCCAGGCAGGTCTGTTGCGTCAATACCCTGCACAAGTCCAAACAGATGGGTTCCCCCCCCTCTGGTTTCATTAAAATTAACACAGATGCTTCGGTTACCAACGAGGGCTGGGTTGGTATGGGTGTGGTGGCGAGAGATATAGAAGGGTCAGTTTTATTTGCAGCATCCAAAAGAATAAGGGCATGGTGGTCGGTCGAAGTAGCGGAAGCAAAAGCAATAACCTGGGCTCTAAACTTGGGATCAAAATTCGGACACAACAATGCTATTGTAGAAACTGATTGCCAAGTCATTATCACAAAACTCATGAGGGAGGAGAGGCATAACACGGATCTGGACATGGTGTTAAGTGATGCTATGGCTCAAAGTACACGGTATAGTAGCTTACAATGGAGTCATGTGAAGAGGGAAGGAAATACGGTGGCTCATAATCTTGCAAAATTTATCCCCTTTGATCCTGAGCAAATTTGGTTTAATTGTGTTCCCCCTACTGTTTCCCACTATGTAAGGATGGATATTTTTGCTATTTAATTTATTGATTAGCTTTCTTTAAAAAAAAAAAAAATAAATAAAAACAATCATTAGCATTGCTGAAACACTTTAGCTAAATTACAGGAATTAAACATTTATTAACAGTCGCGAGTTTGACGAATGTCACAGCTCACACTCTCTCTCTCTCTCTCTTTTCTTTTTTTTTTTTTTTTTTTTTTTTTTTTTTTTTTTTTTGTCTTAAAAAGTGACAAAAAAAATTAATAAAATAAAATAATAAATGGTTTGTTTTCATCCCAATTTAATTTCTTATAAGAAATATTACTAAATTTGACAAAATAAGTAAAATTAAAAAACAGAATAATGAAAAACAACTGAATTCGGCATATTACTAAATAATATTCTGTAATATTTAATTAAATATTACAGAATCATAAACACGGTATTTGTTTTTCCCTCTAGAAAAAAAAAATTAGGCCTCGTTTGGTTGACATGGAAAATAAATTCCCGTAAAAAGTTGCATTTTATGGGAAATCATTTCCCAAATTCTTTAAGTTGTTTGGTTGTGCAATAGGAAGTTGGAATTCCCATGAACTTTAAATGGCCAAGTGGGGGTTAGGTAATTCACTTCCTACATTTTGTGGGAAGTGTAAATTCCCATGAATTCCAACTTCCTCCATTTTTACCTTTTTATATCAACTAAACAACTACCCAAATTATAAAATCCCATGAATTTTCACTTCCCCCATTTTACTTTGTCAATCAAACAACCCCTTAGTATTTGTAATTTGTCACCGTTTTAAATGATGGAGTAGTTCCTTCAAAATTGCCATTTTGACCATTATTTATTATTATTATTATTATTATTTATATTATTATTATTATTATTATTATTATTATTATTACAAAAACCTACAAAGTCAACCAAATGACAAAAGATTAGTAGGGAGCCGAGATACAATCAGCTGGGCCCCACCTCTCTAATTATAGCAAACCCGATCCTGCTCAAGATGTGAGCAGTTGCACGAGCACCAATATCATGAGTCCTAGCGAACACCTGAGCCCGATTCAACAACGCACCATCCTTCTCTAATTCCCCCAATGAAGAAAAAGGAGAAAGGAAGAAAACCATAGCCAACACGACCAGGAGAAGACCCCGCTTGTCCCGCTTTTGCTGAGCAGCAACGTGCCCCATACTTGTCCCACTTCTGTTGAGCAGCAACCGACACAACACGACCAGGAACGAAGTCAGACAACCCAAATTATGTTAAAGGAGAAGACCCCGTCAAATCAACACACACATCAAGGCTACTGTCCCAAGAATAAAGTAGCACATGTGCAGGTCGAAGAGCCACATCGTTCCCTTTAGTCAATCCAACGTTAACCTCCTTTCTTGCAGAAATCCCAAACCGAATTAGAATTATTATTATCATTATTATTTTTGAAACACTTATTATTATTATTATTATTATTATTATTATTATTATTATTATTATTATTATTATTATTAACTCAAACAGTAGTAAACTAGAGAACAATAAAAATAAAATAATAAAAAGTAAGCAACGGCATGATCGAGGAGTTTCATCTATTTGCTTTCTTAAAATACAAGGATCGCTCGTAAAATTACACCTAAATTCAAATTACAAAGCATCATAATATTGGAATCGCAAATGACCAGACTTCAAATGCTATTAAATGTCCGATTGTACCTCTCATAAATTTTGATTTGAAAATTGATTTTGCGAATGATCGGACTTCATCAAATGCTACTCGTGTCGGATTGTAGCTCCCATAAATTTTGATTTGGGCAAAGTAACTTTAGACAAGCAACCCTCAAAAGCCAAGAATTCCTCTAGTTTCATTGATTTTTCTAATACGTGTAGTGGCGGATCTTGACCAAAAATATTAGAGGACCAAAATTTAAATCTTTTACTTTCCGCTCAAAACTAATTACTATGTCCTGATATGTTATGAGTAAAATAAGTTTATTCTAATAATTACAATAATTTACATGGGGTTAGACCCTAAATGACCACGGTTGAAGGTCCCTCTCTGAATACACATATATGGTATATCAACCCAAAACTTAGTACAAGCCACTCGTATAACTTCTTTGGCTACCTATCCATGCAAGTGATGCAACATCTACTCGTTGCGGTTATCAACCACTCTAGCACTAACATGCTTCACTAGTGTTCACTGCACCCTTTCTTTTCACAAGTACAATCTATTTAGCACCAACCCCACCATACATTATTACTAATGTCGTTATGTACATAGTCAATAAATAATAGTCTCAACACTTTCGATAAATTTCCAAAACCTTGAGCAAATTCATGGTAATTGTAGCCTCTCGGGAGAATCACTGACTAAAGATTACTTACTATGAAACGTATGGAATTGAAAATAAAAAAAACATAGTATATGAGTTGTTAAGCTTACTATATGACTTTCTCATAGTAAGTTCCAGTAAGATTTCTAGACATTTTTTCAAAAGTGAAATTATATAATGTTATGTGAAGGGACAAGTAGTTGAATCCTCCAAACTGTGAATACTTGATGGTGAATATCTTTTTTACCAAAATTCGTATATGACAAATGAAATAAGGGGCTATACTCCGTATTAAGAGACGGTATAACATACATATACAGTCCAAAACAAAGAGTGTTAAATGTACGCGTATAGTACTCTCTCATACTCTCAGTATGTACGTAGAACAGCAATTTTTCTTGACCTTCATTTAATTGCATATATACAAGGCTGCTGAGCTCAATAATATAAGACATCGAAGTTGACCATTATTTAAGTCAACAACCGGAAACTCCTTGATTTGCTACATTATTATAGATAACATTTTTTATATTTTAAATATCTTTCCTGCCTATATATATACATGCATAACCTCTCTATATTCTTCAAGCTTATCAAAATAAAGATAAGCTAATAACTCAAAAATTAACACATAATATAATCTATCACTCCAAAAAAAAAAATGGATTATTATTCAACCTTGTTATTATTATTTTCTTTTGTTTGGGCTTTCTTACATCTTTTCAAACATTTTAATTCCTCAAAACTCACTTCTAGTAACAATTCAAGGCTTCCTCCAGGGCCTAAATCTGTACCAATTCTAGGTAACTTGCCTCATCTAGGCGATTCGCCTCATCGTTACTTAGCTAACCTAGCTAAAATGTATGGCCCCTTGATCTCGGTTAAATTTGGTAGTATCACAACTATTGTTGTATCCTCGTCTACAGTAGCCAAAGAAATGTTCCAAAAACATGACCTAACACTTTCTACTAGGCATGTTTCTGCCGCGGTACGTTCTAATGGGCACGACAAGTTTTCCGTTGCATGGCTACCCGTGTGTGCAAAATGGCGAACCCTAAGGAAAATCTCCGCCGTTCAATTGTTCTCCACGCAAAGGCTTGACGCGAGCCAAGCCCTTAGACAAGAAAAAGTGGCTAAACTTATGGAGTATGTTAAGGAATGTAGTAAGTCGGGGGAGGCTATTGATGTTGGTGGAGTTGCATTTACAACTTCGCTAAACTTGTTGTCTAACACGTTCTTTTCGTTCGATTTGGCTAGTTATAACTCTAGTGATACAGGGGAGTTTAAGGAGCTAGTTTGGAAGATTATGGAGGAGATTGGAAAGCCTAATTTGGTTGATTGTTTTCCCATGTTAAGATTCTTGAGTGTGTTTAGTGTTAATTGCAATTTAATGGGGTATGGTAATAAACTAAATGAGGTTTTTGTGGATATTATAAACAAGAGGTTGGAAAGTTTTGCTGTCAGTGGAAATAATGATGGTGGTGATGTGTTGGATACACTTATTAAGATCATGAAGGAGAATGAATCTGAGTTGAGTCTTGATGATATTAAGCATCTTCTCATGGTAAGTGAATTTTAAATTTATTTTTTATAAGTTAATTATCTTGCTTAATTATAAACTTTTTTTTCTAATTAGTTGATAAAAAAAAAAAAACTTAATTTTTCTGATTATAATTAAGAAAAATATTTACTCCCTTTGTTTTTAAAAGTTCTTTCAGTTTTAAATTAATTTTTTAATGAGACAATCACCGTCTAAACAGAAATATCTCGATCCTTTAATCTACTTATAATATAGTTTGTTGCTTCAAGAGAATAATAAAAGGTAAACAATAGTATAAAACATACATCATCAAATAAGTACATAGTCAAATATTAAGTGGCTGTTGCATATTCTCAGGTGGTCCTATTGTGATAGTCATTGGCTCATGGCCTCATAATCGGTCAACTAACTCGGATGTTAGTACATTCGGTTCTTTTTGTGCATGGTTAAATTAGTTTAATTAGAGTGTACTATTAGTAGCGCGTGTTAGTCTTAAAGTAGTCGGTAGCCATAAATAAAGTTTTAATGTTAACTAATTATGATAATATTATATGTGATATAGGATTTCTTTACCGCGGGAACAGATACTACCTCAAGTACGTTAGAATGGACAATGACTGAACTCCTCCATAGCCCGGAAAAAATGGCAAAGGCTCAAGCTGAATTGAAACAAGTTTTAGGAGAGAATAGGATTGTTGGAGAATCTGACATTTCAAAGCTTCCTTACTTACAAGCGATAGTGAAAGAGACTTTAAGGATGCACCCACCAACCGTGTTTTTACTTCCACGTAAGGCGACTAATGATGTTGAACTGTATGGTTATGTTGTGCCTAAAAATGCGCAAGTATTTGTTAACCTTTGGGCTATTTCACGAGATCCCAATCACTGGGTAAATCCGGATTTGTTTTCACCTGAGAGGTTTTTGGAGCGCGAAATTGATATGAAGGGACAAGATTTTGGACTTATTCCATTTGGAGCTGGAAGAAGAATATGTCCTGGAGATACATTGGCATTTCGAATGCTGAATCTTATGTTGGGAAATCTTCTTCACGGTTTTAATTGGAAAGTTGGAGATGGGCTCAAGCCAGAAAATTTAGATATGACCGATAAATTTGGAATTACTATACAAAAAACTATACCTCTTCGTGCCATTCCACTCTCCAAGTAAATTAAAAGAAGAAAAAAAATTAGGAAAGACGTGGAACATAGGCTAAATGAAATAAAAGGGTTGGTTCAATTGATTACTTTTTATCTACCTAGATTGATTCCCATAATGGGGAGTCATGTTACACAACTTCCTTACAGTTTTATGTTGAAAAATGTTCTCTTGGATTCCTAGTTATGTTAGAAGTTGTAACCTTATAAATGATAAATGCAGAATACTTCTTTAAGTTTTAGAAAACTTTGGAGTAAAATTTGAATTTCATATCATATTTCTTGTAATTGTATATATTCATATTCGCTGTAACTCCCATTGTGGTTTATATGTTCGCTAATTATGTGTACATCAACATCTATATAACCTAATAGAACTATTCAACTAAAATAAATTTGTAATCCTTGCATTCAGAATTGTTTTGGCACTCGTTAAATAGCCAAACAATGAATCTTCATAGTGGTAGAGGACAGAGGTGGGCCGTTAAATGCGAGTGGCAGCAAAGACTAAGATGGCGGCTAGGTAACACGCACGAGGAATAGAAGTTATAGTACGAGTGTATTTTGCAAACATTACATCAGAATGTTAGAGACTGCCTAGTGTAACTGTTTTGCAATAGTTTGAAATGTATCTTGCATGGTTGCATGTACTATGTCAGGTGATCCGATCCCGTTCATATTAGTTGCAACTTTGATATATTTTATATCTTACAAATAATACCCCAAAGTTACAACTAATATGAAACGGAGGTTGTATATTTGCTCAATCGTGTTATATGTCAAATTGTAATTGTCGTCATCCATGAAATTATACATTAATAAAGTACAAAGTATATTAAACTAAAAACAGCTTTTAAAAATTAATTAATCCTTTAATCCTACGTGTTAGATGATGATCCGATCGAAAATTTAAACAAACTATAATTGCATATATAAACAATCCACAGCATTTTATTAGAAATTGTACGAGTAATATTATGTGTACTTCCCTCAATTCTCCTCACTTTTCCTTTTGGCTTAGCTTCTAACAAGCAACTCATCAATCATCAAAAAAGTATATTTTGGGTGGGTGCAACATACTTAATTGCCTCATATTAGGGACTACACGAGTATAGCACTGAGATAAAGCCCATACATAAATAATACAACCCATTTCTATAGATTTTATAATAGTTGGAAAGGTAAGAAAAAGGCCCAATAAAGCAACAAAAATTAGTGGCAATCTGTTCAGTATATAAAGTGTATTAAGTGAGTATGTAGAGTGTGGACTACAAAAAGAAATACTATAATATACGGTTGGTTTTAGCTATTTTAAATTAGCTAATCGCTTCCACTAGATAAAGGAGAATTTATTTTACTTTACTTTCATGTTATCTGAACATTCCAAAGAATAAATTAAAAAGAACGGATTATTTGCACACTTTGCGTAATTATAACAAAACTCGCCTTAAAAGAGGATAGATGATACTAAGAAGAGTAGCCTACTAATCTTATATTTATTAGCGATTAGGTAGATGCTGGAAATTTGACTTTCCATTAGTAGTTAAGCGGTGGAAAATTAATTTGTATCGTTTTCAATTTGAAATCATATAGCTCGATTAGGGAGAATAATATTACGTTAAGGTTTCAAATCAAGACAAATTACTCTCTATTAGCTACTACGATACACCTTACATGTATATTTATATGGAATAATTCGGATTCGTATTATAAGAGTAAAAATAAAAGTTGATCATATATAAGCCTAATTTTGACACTCTTGCATATAATTTATTAATAACGACTAGTATATGCTCGAGTTTCTAAACACCACATTATATATGAGTAAAATTATTGATCAGATGATACCCGACCTCCTTATCAATCCAACACATGATCCCAGGCTAGCTAATTCTAACAACCTTGGTGTTTTACATATCTTAATAAAAAAATAATACTGTAATAATAAAGAGTAAATTACAATTTTTCAACAATATTTTCCCAATTCTTTTCTCTTGGTTTACCAAGTTACAGGGCTGATAAATCCGATGACAAAGACAACTAAGTTAACCATTTTGATGTTCAAACCAAGTGCCTTATTATAATTGTCTAATCCATGTAAATATAATTAATTGATTAAAGAAAATGATAGTGTATATACATCCGTTTTCAATAATAAAGTCATAGAAGTTGACTATCTTGATTTAATTTCAAACCAAGATCAAATCCAAGAGCCTTCCTAATTACTATAGTTGTATAATCTATATGTAGATTAGCTAATTGCTTAACTAAGTAATACTCAGCTACTCACTAATTATATAAAGTCGTGCATCACAATTGTCGATCATACACATTAATTAAGCCATACATACCAACAATAATTAAAGCCAATGGATTATTACTACACAATTTTGTTGATTGTACTTCCTTTTCTTTGGGTTTTATTGTATGTTTTCAACCTCAATTCAACTCCCACCACAAATAAAAATGCTAGGATTCCTCCAGGGCCTAAACCTGTACCAATCTTAGGGAATTTGCCACATCTGGGAGATTTACCTCATCATACGTTGGCTAATCTAGCCAAAACATACGGCCCCTTAATCCCTTTATCTACAGGCAATAGTGAAAGAGACATTAAGGATGCACCCACCGACTGTATTTCTGCTACCACGTAAAGCAAGCAATGATGTTGAATTATATGGTTACATTGTGCCTAAAAATGCACAAGTATTCGTTAACCTTTTGGCTATTTCACGAGATCCCAACCATTGGAAAAATCCAGATATGTTTTTACCTGAGAGATTTTTAGAGCACGAAATTGATCTGAAAGGACAAGATTTTGGACTTGTACCTTTTGGAACAGGAAGAAGGGCATGTCCTGGTGATACATTAGCACTTCGAATGTTGAATCTTATGTTGGGGAGTCTTCTTCAAGGTTTTAATTGGAAAATTGGAGATGGTTTAAAGCCAGAAGATTTGGATATGAATGATAAGTTTGGGATTACTATACAAAAAGCTATACCTCTCCGTGTTATTCCAATCTCGAAATAATGATGGTGAAGTTTAAAGAGAAGCAACAAAAGAATAGGTTATTTCAAATAAGGAGAGTTGGTTCATTTCCTACTTGATTGTATCTAGATTTCATCATAGGATTTGTGTTTCAATTTTCAAATATGAATTTCAATAAAATTTAAACAGATAAAACATATATGAAGTACAAAGGTTCATTTGTATACATACATTTGCAAATAAAAATTTCTAAAATTTTGCATGTTTGAATAATACAGAATAACTTAGAAGCTTGCCTCCTAAAAAAAATTAATTTCGAAAGCTTACATTATAAATATGAAAGTATAACACAAACATCAAGTGTAATTCATAAATGCTTAGGAGAATCTAAATCTCCTTTTTTGTTTATCATTAACATTTATGTGCAGTTTAATTATCCCACCTTTATTTTTGTTTTGTTGAGCATGCAAATGCTGAAACACAGCTCATCAATCATAAAAAAATGTTTCACCTTTTTTGGTGGGCTGCAGCCTGCACGAGTGTAGCACTAAAAACAACCCAAATTAAATATCAACAGCCCAAGTTTAATAATGCAGCCCACTGATAATATTATGATGAAAAGACAAAGGGTCCGTTTGGTAGGGTGTAAAACATTTTCAATGTAAAATGGTTTTTCATGAAAATCATTTTACAATGGAAAACTCATTTTCAAAAAAGTTTTCCGTTGTTTGGTTGAATGGAAAATGATTTTCCATTTTAAGCATTTTCTATTGTTTGGTTGAACTGAAAATTCAATTGTGAGGGAAAATGTTTTCCCTCCACTTGTGATGGAAAATGTTTTCCCTCCACTTGTGATGGAAAATGTTTTCCTTCTAAATTGGGGGGAAAATGTTTTCAATAAGGTGGAAAATGATTTTCCACCCCAAGTTTTACATTTTAATGTTTTACACCAAACCTAACAATGTAAAATGGGAAAACATTTTTCAATGAAAATGTTTTAGGCCCTACCAAATGGAGCCAAGGTAGAAAATGATTTTCCACCCCAAGTTTTACTTTTAATGTTTTACACCAAACCAAATAATGTAAAATGGGAAAACACTTTTCAGTGAAAATGTTTTACGCCCTACCAAACGGAGCCAAAAAGATTAATTCCAAATGGGCCCAAAGACCAGTCAATAAGGTGGTGGACTTGCCTTTTGTGTACTTTAACAAAGATAAATAACTCCATGTTTCGGTCTACACGACAATTAAAAGAACTCTAGTGAGTAGTGACCCAACCCAAATCCAAAAAAAAGAACTATAGGCTAACATAATAATATCTCAAAACTTGTGAAAATATGATAAAAACCCCTCGAGGTAAGGGCATTGTTACATGAGATAAATGTGATACGTTCATAAAAGTATGTTTGACCACATAAAATTATTTTTAATTAGATAAAAGCCCGTGCGATGTACGGTTTTTTTCATACATAAATCTCAAGAAAAGATATTTTCCTATATACTCTAAGTTTATATATATATAATTATTTGATTTATTTTAGTATTTAATAATTTTAAAAGAAAAAAACACATAATAATTTAATTAAAGTGTTATTGCCTATTACAAAAGTATTTTTTTTAATGTAATTTATTATGCGACTTTATTTATTGTTGTTTTGTATTTTATTCGTTGTTGTTAGTTATATGACAACTAAATTTAATAATATGAATAAATTGTAAATATGATATCTTTCAAAAAAAAATTGTAAATATGATATTTTATTGATTACATATTAGGTTAAAATTGAAAAACTATTTTTTTTTTGTTGAATAATTTAAATCCTAAATCATTATTAGTTGTTTTTTAAAAAAAATAGAAATATTAAAAAATAATAAAAAAGTGTATACTATTTATCTTATAAAATAAATCAATATATTTACCAGGAAGTAAAAATTGTGGTGAAATTGATCTAAAAATTGTAATTGTACAAAATCAAATCTATGCATTAGAATATTTTCATCGTCCCTAATCGCCCGAACAATAGTATTTTGGAAAATTGAATCACTATTTTGTTGTCACTGAAAATGCGTGCAATATTGATTCTTATTTGTAACGAATGAAAAGTATTTAATTGAGTAAACTTTTCTTTCAGCTAATTTTGGACGAATTGTACAAAGTTAGCTTTAATTTAGGTATGAACGTAATCAAAATTAAGTTAATTTGATGACTTGATTAAGCTACCTAAATCACAAAAAATTTGTTCTAATCATAAAATTAATTAATATAAACTACAAAGGTTTATAAAAAAATTTAATAAATGTAAACAATTTAAAAAGATATAATACCTTCTCATCCAATAGGACCATCAGGCGAGAAACTCGTACTTTGATTTTCCAATCATTTTTGCTCGAATCTAATTCGCTGATTAAATCACATCTGCGTGTAAAAACAAAATCCAGTAAACAAAACATAAACATATAATCATTAAGTATTCCAATTAAACACCATGTAAGAAATAATCACAAATATACATTTAAACATGGATTTTAAAAATTAAGCTAAGAATTACTCAGCCATTGATGACTAAAACTGACACAAAATTCGCTTGATTTGGTTTTGTATTGATATGAAATTTTGTTGGTGTTGTAGGATGCGTCAATTTATAATGGTATGCATCAAAAATTTTAATTTATTTATTATTAAGGAATAATTTTTATTTCTTATCACAAACACTATCAAGATTTATCTTAGATATATAAATCCTATATCTAAATATGATTTTTTAAAAATAATTTTTAGTTTTTTAAATAAATTAAATCGTAATAAATCACTATTCGTTGTTTTAAATACGTGGCAAAATTCTTAAATCTCATTCGTCACTTTTTCTTAGGTGGCGAGTGAATTTATTAATTCTAAAATAAAATACAAATCTAATTTTTGATTGGTCGAGATAATACCTTTGCTTATGTGGCACGTCGAATGCTCTCCAAAAATGCCTACTTTATTTTTATATATTAGAATTTTTTTTTTTTTTTGCAAACTATAAATTTTTTTTTTTTTTTGGGTAAGATGAAACCCTTTACGGACAATTCGGCTTGGGTTTACGGGGTAGATAATTCGGGGGAAGGTAAGAGAATCTCATCCCCAAATTGTCACTAATGGGGATTGAATATTCAACTTTATAGTTAGAAAGTGTTCACCTTTCTACTAGATTAAACTTAGCTTGATATTTTATGTTATTTAAATTGGTAAAAGGAAAAAATTCAAGTTTAATCGCAAAAAACAACACATTTTGTGTGCGGCTGGTGATCGCTTATAAAAGAACAAATGTTAACCCAATATCTTGGTGTATCGGGGTTGAATAACCTAGAGAAGCAACATAATCTGCTGCTCAATTTCCTTCACGATAAATATGATGGGAGTGAAAGGTTGAAAAAGACTCCAAAATTTTCTTGATATCGTTCATAAGCAAATGTAGCTTCCAAGGACACTTGAAATGACCTTGCAAAATATTGATTACCATTAGATTATCACCTTCGATAAATATATGGGAAATATTGTGAGCCCTAGCTAGCAATAATCCGTTACGAAGAGCAATGACTATCGCTAAAAAGGCAGGACAGGAGCCTAAATTATAAGTACGACTAGGAATGTGATTGTCAAGATCATCTCTTAGAACCACACCAGCCATAGACAAATTATTAGGAGCAGAGCCATCAAAGTTGAGTTTACAGAACCTAACAGGGGGAGGAGACCAACTAACAAAAGAAGGGACAGGGTGGGGAGCGAGGAGGGCAAGGGATTGATGATTGAAGATCATCCAAACTAGAACGGGCCTGTCATTCCTGAAATAGAGAAAAGGTACGGAAAAAACGTTTTTAATATTAGGTATTGAAGTTTTAAAAATAACAGCATTACGACATTTCCATACACTACACGAAAAAAGGAAATTGGCAACGGTTCAAACCCCCCCAAAGGCAACGGTTTTGAACCGTTGAGTATTTAAGGGTTGCCAAATCCCAAATAAATTGGCAACGGTTCAAAACCGTTGCCAACTCAACCAATTGGCAACGGTTAACCGTTGCCATTAACCATGCCTCCTTTTTTTTTGTTTTTAAAAGTAATTGGCAACTGTTAACCGTTGCCAATTGCTTGAGTTGGCAACGGTTAACCGTTGCCAAAGCCAATGGCGTGCTTTTTTTTTTTAAACATTGGCAACGGTTAACCGTTGCCAATGACCTGTATTGGTTTTTTTTTTTGGCTGCACTAATATTGACCTGTTTTTTGTTTTTTTTTTGGCTGCATTAATATTGACCTGTTTTTTTTTTTTTTTTGCTGCAATATTAATAATAATAATAATAATAATAATAATTATTATTATTATTATATTAATAATAATAATAATAATAATTATTAATATTATAATAGTAATAATAATAATAATACTTATTATAATTATATATGATAATAGTAACAATAATTAGTAACATTAATAACAAAACATAAATAATTAATAATAACAATCGCAAGAGATGATATAAATTAGAAAAATGTTTCATGTATAGTACATAATTAATAAGCTAAGCCTAGGATTGATGAAGAGATGATATAGTACAAAAATGTATGACGATATTTACAAATTAAATGTGATGTAGGTCGCCAACATCTCCCGAATTACATGGAGTTCCTCGCTCGTGTATGGAAGTCCCGTTTGCCCCTTGCAAAACTTAGAATACACAAAACGTGAGTTAGTAGAAGTGAAATAATAATAATTGGGGTTAGTTATAGGTGACTAATGCTTGAGATTACAAGAAAAGAGCAAGTAAGAGGTTTTGGGACGCAACTTCAACCAAAATGGCTCAAGTAAGGCCATTTTGGCTACTAGGATGCCTATTTTCTATATTTCTTGTCTATTGAACTCATAACTAGCTAAAACATGTCATTATCACTTAGTTATAGGTGACTAATGCTTGAGATTACAAGAAAAGAGCAAGTAAGTGGTTTTGGGATGCAATTTCAACCAAAATGGCTCAAGTAAGGCCATTTTGGCTACTAGGATGCCTATTTTCTATATTTCTTGTCTATTGAACTCATAACTAGTTAAAACATGTCATTATCACTTAGTTATAGGTGACTAATGCTTGAGATTACAAGAAAAGAGCAAGTAAGAGGTTATGGGACGCAATTTCAACCAAAATGGCTCAAGTAAGGCATTTTGGCTACTAGGATGCCTATTTTCTACAATTCATGTCTATTGAACTCATAACTAGTTAAAACATGTCATTATCACTTAGTTATAGGTGACTAATGCTTGATATTACAAGAAAAGAGCAAGTAAGTGGTTTTGGGACGCAATTTCAAGCAAAATGGCTCAAGTAAGGCCATTTTGGCTACTAGGATGCCTATATTCTATATTTCTTGTCTATTGAACTCATAACTAGTTAAAACATGTCATTATCACTTAGTTAAATGTGACTAATGCTTGAGATTACATGAAAATAGCAAGTAAGTGGTTTTGGGACGCAATTTCAACCAAAATGGCATACCTCTTCAAGCTGACGTGTGTCTGTACAATGACTCATCACTATGTCATACATGAATCTCATCACGTATAGGCCAAAGTCAACTCTGTTTTCCTGTTGTGCGCACTAGCATGAGGAACAAAGCACATGAATCAAAATGCATAGCAAATAAGCAACATCTTAAGCATTGTAAAGTAAGAAAATCACAACATCATGGGTGAATTACCTTGGGTGCTTTCCATGTAGGACCTCGAGGAGATCGAGGATTTATCTTCTTCATGGTAATACAAAAAATCAAAGTAATAAGTTCAAATTTGACTAGTATAATCAATACATATGAGTTAAGATATGAAAAATGAATAATCAGAAGAGGCGCTTTCTTACTTGAGGCGCTTACTTTTGTAGTATGGACCTCACGAGGCGCTTTCTTACTTGAGGCAACCGAGCAGAATCAAAGTAGAAGATTGTGTTACTGGAAACACAAATCACAAGTAGGGTCCAATGATAACTACACACGAGACAAACAAATCAATAGTTAGCCTATTACAACAAATAAACTGGGAAAACAAACGAACTTGACTAGCATAATCAGACGTACTCCTCATAGTATGGGACGAATATGAACTTGTCTCCCGCACTCACTGATTGCCTGATACCCCGTTCAGCATAGTACAACACGTCAGCGGAGTTGCCTAAGATTCTAGCAGTGGACATCTGCTCAGGGCACAACCACCCAACTTGACAAGGAGATTCAAGCTCCCATATTTGCTCTTGGAGTGCTCTGCATGCATGATATCACAACGTTAATCGAAAACCAAACGACAAACACCACTAAACTGAATAATATAAATTGAGTATCAGTTGAATTACCTCATGGATATTTGAATGAGGGAAATATTAAGCATTGCACCACTTAGAAATTCCTTCACATCTTCTTTGAATAGCCATGTCGTTGCATCATCATCGTAGTGGAACATTTCCTTAGGAAGTTGGATTTGGATGGGGTTGTCATTAGGCAACACGCAAACACGGTTGTGCAAATAAGCTAACTCCTGAGATAGCGATTGAAGCACCGTGTCTTCAACTAATGGAGTAGCTTGCGTAGCTGAACATCGTGAAGGGCTCTTCATCGACGCTTTTCCACTCACCGAGCCATGTTCACTCCTGTTCTTTGGCCCCTCCACCCTCTTCTTTGGAGTTTGGCTTTTCTTCGATGGCTAATAAGACAAATCATATAAATAGTTAGAAAAGATTTCCATCCAACTCTTGGGAAGAAAAGATTAAATCGTGAAATCTAAATCTTAATTACCTGGTTCATCAACCGTATCCAAGCAGTTGGCCATTGCACAAAACTACCTTTTGCTGCCCAGAGTGTAGTGAACTCATCCTCCTCCACGGGCACAGGTATTAAGATCTCCTCGAACCCGAGAACCACATAATGGATCCCGACAGAATAATGCTTGGGCATAAGAGGTCGAAGATGGATTGTGCCTTGTTCGGCCGGTTGTGCACTACCATAGGCAACAACTTTCAAAGGTCCATCATATGATTCCCCCGGGAGAAGAAGTTCACAACGGGTCTCTTCCTGCACCAATTAGGAACATACTTCATTTAAATATTCATAACTAAGCATATTAGGTGTAATATAGGAGTTAAATCAAGAATTGAGCAAAAAACATGGAAAATAGGCAAGTTAGAACTCATTTAGGCCATTTCGAGCCGAAAACACTCTAAATGAACCTAGAACTTGTGAAATTGCTTTTTTTAGGTTGTTTCAAGCCACAAATATTCATAACTAAACATATTAGGTGTAATATAGGAGTTAAATCAAGAATTGAGCAAAAAACATGGAAAATGGGCAAGTTACAACTCATTTAGGCCATTTCGAGCCGAAAACACTCTAAATGAACCAAAAACTTGTGAAATTGCTTTTTTTAGGTTGTTTCAAGCCAAAAATATTCATAACTAAGCATATTAGGTGTAATATAGGAGTTAAATCAAGAATTGAGCAAAAAACATGGAAAATGGGCAAGTTAGAACTCATTTAGGCCATTTCGAGCCGAAAACACTCTAAATGAACCTAGAACTTGTGAAATTGCTTTTTTTAGGTTGTTTCAAGCCACAAATATTCATAACTAAGCATATTAGGTGTAATATAGGAGTTAAATCAAGAATTGAGCAAAAAAACATGGAAAATGGGCAAGTTAGAACTCATTTTGGCCATTTCGAGCCGAAAACACTCTAAATGAACCTAAAACTTGTGAAATTGCTTTTTTTAGGTTGTTTCAAGCCATAAATATTCATAACTTAGTATCTTAGGCGCAAAAAAAAAGAAAAAAAAAACCAAAACAAGTGCAAAAAAAAAAACCGGAAACCGGGCGGGAAGGGCAGCGTGTGCACAACGAGGAGGCCGCACAGCTGCTGCAGTGCTGCACACTGCACAGCAGCCTCCTCGCTGTGCTGCAGCCTCCTCGAGAAGAAAGAGAAGGAGGAGGAGGAGGAGAAGGAGAAGGAGAAGGAGGAGGAGGAGAAGGAGGAGAAGGAGAAGGAGAAGAAAGAGAAGGAGAAGGAGAAGGAGAAGGAGGAGAAGGAGAAGGAGAAGAAAGAGAAGGAGAAGGGAGAGAAGGAGAAGGAGAAGAAAGAGAAGGAGAAGGAGAAGAAAGAGAAGGAGGAGGAGGAGGAGGAGGAGGAGGAGAAGGAGAAGGAGAAGAAAAAGAAGGAGGAGGAGAAGGAGAAGGAGGAGGAGAATGAGGAGAAGGAGAAGCAGACAACAACAACACATCACATCAACAAATTAAAGCAACACAAACTACTCGACACAGCGAAGAAACACCATTTCACAGCCAACTTAACCATTTCACAACTCAATCCAAAAACCAATATCATTATCCAAACAAGTAAGTAAAAAATCACCTGTAGAATAGGAAAGTCTTGAGGTGTCAGAGTATCAAGCCCCCTTGAGTTCGCATGTGATGGAGTACCAATCTGCAATAGTGTATTGATAGTAAAACACTAATTAGAACCGTACCCACGTAACTCAACATATCAAAACTTATAGAGTTAAATTCTAATCACGTACCTCCTCGCATGCATTTATCTCCTGTTCTCCTTCTCTTCGTGGGTGGCTACTTGAGTCGGCCAGTGTTGTCGAGGAAAAGGGCAAGGTCGGCAAATTCATTTTCTTCGCCCATGCATTGAACTCTTCGCGCATCTCATTGCGCACTTGTTCTTTAATTGATGCCACTGTGGCATCGAAGTTCTGTGGCGAGTTCACACTTGCTCGGGATCTTCCAGATTTGGTATATTCGGGACCCATTACCTTCTCCCATCCTAGAAAGCTCCCCCCAGCACCTAATACCCGTCCCGGATGGTAGGGCTTTCCTATAGCCAAGGTGAAGGGGTCCTTCTCTACCGTCGGGACGAGCTTGCCTTCAACAAGCTCTCCAGTGTACTCAAGCTGTAGCAAAAACAAAATGGCAACATGAAGTAAGTGTTTATATAAAGTGATATACATGCAAATGAATAATGTAGTTCACTAGTTCATAGTTGCTTACTAGCTTATCTGTCATTTCTTTGGTTTCCGGAGCCTTGATGGACCATTTTCCGGTGTTCTTGTCTCGCGAATGCATAGAGCAAAAGAAATCCCCAGCATGACTCACCAAAGTACTGGTCGTGGAGTCAGACGACGCTGTGGAGGACCCTAGAAGCGCAGTGGGGTACACTCCTTCACTCACCCACGTATCCCTCCATTCATCATACGTCATTGCTCCCATATGATGGTGGTATTGCTTTTGCAATGCATTCCTAGAATTCTGCTCCCTCATTTCCTACATAAAAAGATATATATGTTAGTTTCATTACTTATAAAAAAGACGATAAATTACGACACAATTTTCATCAGAGTTCTTTAAACTTACAATTTCTTCTTTTTTACATTTTTGATGAACGAAAGCCTCCCAATCATCCTTCGATATGCTAGGCCATATTTGCCAAGGGAGTTTCTCTTCATCGATGACATCATCATCACTGCCACCTCCTTTCTTGTTCTTTGGTTTCCTCACAAGTTTCTTTGTGATAAACCGACGAACTAAGTTACACTTGAAGCTTCTGAATCTTGCCGCAAGTAAGGATTCAAACACCCTTAGCTTGGCGTACTCATTTGGAATGTTAAATAGACTCTGCAAGCACAAATAACAAACATTATTAGTTTGCCAATAACATAACAATAAATTGAAATTGTTTATAAATAATCACATCAAATCAAACTTACCCTGGTATCATTCCAAAACGTGTCAATCAAGCCTGTAGGTACGTCGCTCATACGAAGCGTAATGGGGATTTTGCGCGCACAAATCCCAACTTGACCAGCATACTGACGACGCCATTTACCTGAGGGTTGCCCTACCCTGTCATACTCCAAGACCATAGGACCGACAGGTTTCTTGAAAGCTGTCGTCGGCCCCCTCTGCTTTTTCTTCACTGGTGCCTGCACCCCCCCTCCACTTTGATCCTCACGAAACGGCTCCATCATGTCATTATCGATTGGAGGCGCTTGCTCAGCTGCAATTTCAAAGTCATCTATCATTCTCTCCAATACATCTTGCGCCTGATCTTCTGGCTCACCCAAATCAGTTTCCTTGTTCACATCATACGGCTGGTCCCCATCATTAGATGAATCATCTGAGTTAGATTCAACATCCTCAACTCGAACACGGAATCGATCGTCCGCCATTAGATGTTAAAACCTGTCATTACAAACATAACACGTTATTAGCTGCTGAATTGAAAGGTAAACTTATAATCATATATAAATTGCTAAATTATAATACAAATAAACATAGAAAATATACAAATAAACATTAATTGCTAAATGGGCAAGTAATTCAACAATTTCATTCATTTTCACCTAAAAATGTGATTTTTTAATTCTTTCTACGCCTGCAATTCAAACTAACAGAAAATATACAGTACCTCAATCTAATATTCCTTCATCGTGGTCTGATCTCATGTAATTGGCATGGTCGTCTATCTCATCTGGCACAGCAGGTCTAGGAACAGTGAAAGGTGCCGAGTCATCAAAGGCATCATATTCTTCCTCATCCTCGACATCTCCAACACCAAGGATTCTTCTTTTTCCGGCTAGCACAATAGTCCATTTTGAGTCGACAGGGTCAGATACGTAAAACACCTGCTTAGCTTGAGATGCAAGGATGAATGGTTCCGCACTATCATTCAGGTTGCCAAGATCTACAAGAGTAAAGTCATCAAATTTGACGTTACGCCTGATATTATCAACCCACTTACACCGGAAAAGAGCAATCGTGAAGTCACAATAATCAAGCTCCCATATTTCTTGAATTCGACCATAGTATGACAGCTCTGGATCAACGGGTGATTTATCCTTAGCACTTGCAAACTCCCTTGACGATGCCACAACCGTTACACCACTGTTTAGGGTCGAGGACGATTTCAAATCTTGACGCTCAATCCAAAATGTGTACCCATTTATGTCATATCCCTCAAATGAGCGAACATCATCCCTAGGACCATAAGCAAGCCACCTTACTGTAGTTGTGACACTCTCATCCATTCCACCCATCACTCGATCACGAAACCAAGTCACGAACTTCTTATTGTGCAACTGTATTAGTGCCCTTTCACCTTTAGACGGAAACTCATCACGCAAACTAGCCATGTGCTCGTCTAAATATGGGTGAACATCTGCAACATGGTGACATTCGTTTCGACCCGATTGTGCCATGACCATCAAGTCTACCTTCATGTCGAGAAGTAGGAATACCAATAGGTTCAACAACGGCTATATAGTCGGCCACAAAATTACCAATCTCCTCGGCAACGGTCCCTTGAATCATACTTCCTTCCGGGTGAGCCCGATTCCTAACTTTATCTTGCAATGTACCCATGTGTCTTTCAAAAGGATAGCACCACCTCAAGAACACTGGACCGCACAACTTAATCTCACGCACCAAATGAAGAATCAAATGCACCATTATGTCGAAAAACGAGGGCGAGAAGTACATCTCAAATTTGCACAAAGTCACAACCACATCCGCCTGTAAAGCATCAAGGGTACAAGGATCAAGCACTTTGCTACATATTGTATTGAAAAACGAACAGAGGCTTGTAATAGCTTCCCTCATGTGCTTTGGCAAAATACCACGTATTGCAATTGGTAGAAAAACTTGCATCAGAACATGACAATCATGGGATTTCATACTTGTCAGCTTCAATTCTCCATTTAAGGATACAAATCTTTTCATGTTAGATGCGTACCCTTATGGAACCTTAATGCCATACAGACATTCACAAAACCTCCGTTTTTCTACCCTTGACAATGTGTAGCAAGCCGGAGGTAAATAGGTCTTCCCCTCTTTGGCTTTTCCCTCATTTTTCTTCTTCGACCCATCCGCGGCCTTTCCCTTTCCCTTGCTCTTCCCCTTTCCCTTTTTCGAACCCATTTCTTTTTCCTTTTCCTGTTCCTTTCCCTTACTAACCCTTTGCTGAACCCACAATTCTGGACGCACCCCCATCTTTTCCAAATCTAAACGTGCACCCTTTCCGTCCTTTGTCTTGTGTTGAATATTCATCAGCGTTCCCACAAGAGCGTCACACACATTCTTCTTTATATGCATTACATCAAGACAGTGCCTAACGTCATGTTCTTTCCAGTACGGGAGCAACCAAAAGATTGATTCTTTTTTAAAGAGAGCAACTGATTCCGCTGCTTTTTCAGATTTCCCAAATACTGTTCGTACACCCTTAACCCGAGCGTAAACCTCCTCACCAGTCAATGGCCTAGGAGCAGTCCCCTCTTCCACCGTCCCATCGAAAGCCTTTTTCTGCCGACGGTACGGGTGATCGCGCCTGAGCAGCCTTCTTGTCCTCAAATACACCTGTTTGAAATAATGATCAAGGCGTCTGCTTGGCGTATCATCAATACAAATGGGACATGCCTTTTTCCCTTTATTTTTATACCTAGACAAGTTGCCATATGCAGGAAAATCATTAACGGTCCACATAAGAGCTGCACGCAATGTGAACATCTCGTTCTTATGAGCATCAAACACGGAAACCCCTTCGTCCCACATCTTTCTCAAATCATCAACCAATGGCGCAAGATACACATCTATGTCGTTTCCAGGTTGCCTTGGCCCCGATATCAAGAGTGAAAGCATTACATATTTTGTTTCATGCACAGCCAAGGAGGCAAATTGTAGATCACTAAAAGTACCGGCCATGTGCTGTGCTGGGTACTAAGAGTGCCAAATGGATTCATCCCGTCCGTGCACAAACCAAGCCTTAAATTTCTGACTTCATCACCAAATTCCCCAAACTTCATATCAAGGTTCTTCCATTGCGGGGAGTCGGCTGGGTGCTTCAGCATTCTGCTTTTCTTTCTTCCCTCTGCATGCCACCTCAAGTTTTTAGCGTCTTTTGGTAAAGAGAACAGATGCTTAAACCTTGGAATTATGGGAAGATACGACAACACCTTATCAGGAGGTCCCTTCGTACCAGCATTGCAACTCTTGCGCTTGTAGCGCGACTTCTTACATCTTGGACACTCCTCCAATTGTTCATATTCATTTCGGTAAAGAATACAATCATTAGGACATGCATGTATCTTCTTATACTCCAAACCAAATGGACACATGAGCTTATTAGCGTAATAGTAAGACTTAGGAATTTCATTCCCATCGGGCAACATCTCACTTAACACGCTCAACAAGGAAGTAAAACTACTGTCCGTCCACCCATGCTTCGACTTAATGTTAAAAAGAGTAAGCACGGCTGATAGTTTGGAGTATTTTTTGCACCCAGGATACAAAGGCTTTTTAGAAGCCTCCGATAATGACTCAAACACGTCACCTTCAAAACCACGCATCATATCATCCACACCTTCATCCTCAACCTCATCCACATGATCATCCTCAAATCCCTCCTCAGCACCATCATCATCAATATGTTCATCATTCTTGTATTCCTCGTCCACACGGATATCATTGCTTATATCATCATGCACATCATACCCAATAACATCCCCACTGTACTCTCCTTCTTCACCATGCCAAATCCACACATGATATTTAACCCTAAACCCACGACAAACTACATGATCTCTAATGATATCAACACTATTGACCACCTTCACATTATTACAATCAACACAAGGACAATAGAGGCACTCGAAACCCATTCTGCGCTGATAAGATGAAGCCGTCTCGCAGAACTCTTGAACCCCATTAAAGAATTCCAATGTATCACGTCTACCATACATCCATCCACGATCCTTCTCCATTAAGTAAATTGTCTCTAAACATGGCAATATATTACGAATGATAATGTATAATTGCTACATCTACTATATATATAAATCAAATTCAAACACACACCATGCATATAACTTTCATATACATACACAAATAAATATATGCTTCCAAAGGGTCCTTATCACTCCAACCTAACCCATCCTTGAACGTTTACTCTCACTAGTGAATGTATGTCAACTTTCCAATTTTAAGGAAAATCCGGCAGCATTTCCCCCCAGTTCTCCAAGTACACGACGTAGGTAATTACTTACCCACATATGTACCCAGAGAACATGGTGATCGAGGAAATGGTAAGCCAAGATGTTTCTTAAAATCGAAAAAAAGGACATACATTCACCACCTAAGTGAGAGTAAACGTTCAAGAACAGTCCCAACCGGGGACTATTCAAGACTTTCTCCTAATGAGAAAGCCTTGAACGGGTATCTAGGTACATGATGATGCAATGCAAACATTTCATATATTTATTATTGTTGTATTTAGTTTGTCATTATATAATACACAAATCTAATATCTAGCATGAAAAAACTTTTGGTTTTACAATAATAGGGAGAAAGAAATATTTATAGCTTAGAGAAGTTTATAATTCATACCAACACAATGGATGTATTCTTTCTAACTTCCCACTTGAGCTAAATTAATGTGTAGTCTTCAAACTTAACTAGCTTGAACTTCAATTCACATATGAACCTATAAAAACGCAAAAAGAAAAAACAAATTAAAAGTTAGTAAGTATGTATGAGAAATGGATAATAAATACAAATGGGGACATATGATTAAAGAGAACGAGAAAATGGTAAGTAAGTACATATAGGTAAGTAAGTAGTTAACAATCAATGAACTCCCAAACAAGTGCTTTAGATGCTTAAATGTTTGAAAAAACCTCCCTGCGCACACCACCAGAAACATCCCCAACATACTTCTTAAACTCTAAAAAACCAAGCACCCCAATTAGCACAAACTCAAAGATGTTATATTTAGCATTCAATTGAGCTTTTACTTTTAAATTGAATTACTTTACTTTAAAGAGATTTGTATTTTATTTTTTTATATTTTTTTTTTGTTTTTGGGTAAATAAGAAAAATTTATTACCAAACGAAAACAGTTACAAGAATACAAAAACCTGTAACCGCTAAACTACACAAGCCCTTCGGGCAAACAACCACCCAATCAAAACCAACCTTGTAAAAAAAACAAAACCAAAACCGAGACTAACTATACACAACCAAACAAAACAACCAAACACCAAAACAAACAAGAAAAAATAAATTAAAAACACCAAGGCTAAAACAAGCCCAAGCTATACATCAAGAAACCAAAAAAAACACAGCAGCTGAAACAACAGCTCCCACCTGACAGCACAAAGGATCAGCCAGCCTTACAAGAACAACACAGCCAGCACCACAGAAACCTCAGAGCAGAGCCACTTCCAGAGCACCACCTGACAGCAAGCCAACCAGCTACAGACCTACACAAACCAAAGCAATCTCAGCAACAGGTTGTAGCTACAGACCTGCACTGAGCAGGCACACTGACAGCCACCACCAGAACACAATGCAGCATCAGTTCAGAGAAAGCAGCCTGAACAGGCAGCAGAAACAGAAGCACAGAGCACAGGGCAGAACTTATTTGAGAAGCTGCAACACAACAGGAGCACAGACCACAGGGCTCTAACATTGCCC